ATATCAAGTAAAAAGTCAGATTTTCCTGCTACAATGCTGTATATGGTTAGTTTTCTAAGCTTTTGTGTAAAAATATGTAATTGTTTATTCCTATTTTTAAATATATTTTTATTTCTTTAATTTTTTTCTTCATATTCTGTAGGGACTTAAAGTTTAACATATCAATACTTGATGAAAAATACCTGTTTCATGTCATGCCTAAGATGTTCGATATTCAGATAGTGAGGGTAAGTTTCACTACCTAGGTTGTAGGGTAATAACAATAAGCTTCTCTTCTGGAGGGTTAACAATCTAAGTTTGCAGACTAAAAATTAGGGTAAAAAGAGGGCAGCAAGGACAGCCAACATTTTGGCCCTAGTCTTTCAAGGTCAGTGAAGACTCAGGACATATGCAAACCTGTACTGTAACATCATGTAACTCAGTTGTGTCCCAAATTTTCTGATGGAGATTATGGGGCCATAGAGGAAAGTGATTAATGATGTAGAGAGAGTCACATGGAGAGAAGCACTCTCTCAGATTTTCCTTTAATGAAGATTACTAATCCATCTCTGACAAAACTAAACAAAAAAGGCAGATATAAATGAAGGACCATTTTGTAGTTAAAAAAGAAAAAAAATACATACATATATCTGTATATACAAAATAGTTAGGAGAGCTATACAGCTCCTTTCTCTTAGTTCAGTGAGAAGAAAGATTTGTACTAATAGTGTTTAGACAAGATATCATGTCTGCATCTTGTACTATGAATCACTACTACAAAGAAAACAATATGCAGTTTATTAATCATTGTAACTGTCCTTCTGACCTGTTTTGAAACTATCTCATTGCTATTTCTTTCTCAATAAAATTAATTTTAAAAAAGAAAAATACTAAAACAAACCACAGAGACCACTATTGGATCTCCAGCATGGGCACACTGAGCAGGCCACCGAGTCTGGGCGTGGTGGTTCATGCCTATAATCCCAGCACCAGTGAGGCTGAAAAAGGGAGGATCACTATGAGTCCAAGCTACATGGTGAGACCCCTTGCCAAATGCATTAAAACACACACACACACACACACACCACTAAAATAATTTCTAGCAAGGCTGGAAAAAGTATAGCATTTTAGAATTTTCCTGATAGTATGTTTTAACCTGGAAAGGACTATTTGTGCTACGGTTGAAAACAATCAGTTTCAAAATTGAGTTGCCCAACACATACGAATAAAAGCCTACTTTAAGCTAGGTGTAGTAGCGGACACCTACAGAGCCAGTTATGTGGGGAGTTTGAGGCCAGGGGATTTCTTTAGCCTAAGAGTTCAGAACTGGCCTGGACTTGTGAGATGCTGTTTCAAAACCGAAAAGAGCAGAGTGAAGCAAAACAAAACAACACCCTCCCCCACAAAAAAATGGTTACACTGATTTCAATGGTATTTTCAACATTAGTCAGCAGCTGACAGAGACCCCCATTTTACAAGTGCACTATCTATAATGCTTGGAGTATACATTGGCTTCTGAAGCCAAAAAGGTGATGGATTGACACTTCATACCTGTGCTTGTGTGTGTCAGCCTGGAGATAGTATATATCATTTTTACTTGATTGTTGGACACACAAGTCATGTGTCATCTACAGTATGGTGACGGGAAATATGGAGCATATGGCTATTCAGGGAGCAGTAAATGTCTCTACCATAAAGTAGTAGCCAACGAATAATAGTGAAGAGAAATAAAACATGAAAATTATAAAGAAAGCAGGAAAATTAGAACATGCATGCACAAAAAAAGATTTATGCCATAAGAGAAAACAAGACAGAGATGGACTAAAATTTGCAAGGATGTAGGTTTAAATATTATTCTTTGTATAATAAACAAGCTTGATCTATCAAGAAAAATAAACCTTAAGGTAAAAGTACACTATTGTTTAGTGGTTTTAAAAATTCCTAGAGAAGATACAGTAAGTCCATCTTAGTTATGCATTTCTGAATAACAAGCCACATCAAAATCTTGTGATTTAAAACAGTAATGGTTTGTGACTTGTCCATGCCCAACCAGGCGTCTGAGTAATTTGGCGATTGTTAATGTGGCTACATTTGTCAGGGACTGTAACAGGGACAGCAACACCCAAGTTAGCTTAATTCACGTATCTCAGGCCTTATTTGGGATGGCAAAAAGAGCCAGGGCTGCCTGGGAGGTTCTCAAATGTGAGACTGTTTCTTTTCTTTCTTTCTTTTTTCTTTATGTGTGTGCTTTCCTTCCTTTTCTTTTCTTTTCTTTTCTTTTTTTTCTTTTCTTTTCTTTTCTTTTCTTTTTTTTTCTTTTCTTTTCTTTTCTTTTCTCTTTCTTTCTTTCTTTCTTTCTTTCTTTCTTTCTTTCTTTCTTTCTTTCTTTCTTTTTTTGAAACAAATATCAGTGAGACTCTTTCCAAGCTGATTAATAGGACATTTTCAATAATTAATACATTGGACATTGTTATCATCTCAGTGGTCATCCACAGCACAAGAAGCAGCCAGGACATCCCATCCAAACACTATTACTACAAATCCTTCCTAAGGACCATTTTGTATTTGTATATACAGAATAGTTATGATAGAAGCTCAGTTTCTTTACATGGTAATTCAGGGCTCCAAGAGAACAGAAACAGATATTGCCGTGCCTTAAGGGCCAGGTTCAAAATTTGCAGTTTTACTTCTACTTTATTCTGCTGTTCGAAGCAAGTCAGGGTGCTAGGTAGGATCAAGGGTAATGAATACAGATTTCATTTCTTGGTGAGAAGAACAGCATACAGATATGAAAGGACTTGTTATCAGTCCTCTGAGGAGATAGTTCACAATCTCTGATCACAAACATTTACATTCCTTTTACATGACAAATAGATTTGTCACTCCCGGAGCTCTTCTGAAGTATTATATAAACACGAGAATAAGAAAGTAAAACCCAGTTTATGCAGGTTCCATGACAAACTGACTTTTAAAAATCAGAAAAATACAAAGCTGATTTTTAAAAAGTAATGTAAACTCAAAGAGCCACAAGTAGACAAAACAATTTTCATAAAGAACAGCAATATATGAAGTAAGCTATCAGATAATAAAATTTATTATAAAACAATAAGAGTTAGGACAGTATGGTGTTGGTGTAAAGTCAACAAATAGAGCAGAAAATGGTCTCCCGAGACAGGCCTACCCAGATTCTTGTTTTACAACAAATACAATGTTGCTCTGACTTGTAGAATAAATCAATTTTCAATAAATAAGACTGCATAAATTGACTGTCTTCATATGCATTAAAAGTGAATAATAATGTTCACTCAAGCTATAAAAATCATTTGCAATGATACTATCGATATAAAATAAATACAGTTTCTGGAAGATTACCTAGGAAAATATCTTCAAGGTCTTGGAGTAGGCAAATTTAATAGAAGGAATTGTGAAAATAATTAATGAGAAAGAAAAAGATTGATGAATTGGATTCCATCTAAGTTAGAATGTTTTTCGTTAGAATGTCCCATTAAAGAGCAAAAAGAGTGCTGGTCAGATAGCTCAGCAGATTAAAGGACCAGAGGCTGGGGGTTTGATTCGGGCCTGCTGTGCCTGCCCTGCCCCCAGGGCACGCTGAGCCTGCGATTGAGACTGGTGGTGCACACCTGTAATCTCAGGACTTGGGAGGCTGAAAAACAGGAAGGGTCACTACAAGTCTGAGCTGTGTAGTGAGACCTTGTAGACCCTGTACTAAATACAAAAAAAAAAAAAAAAAAAGCAAAAAGAGAAGTCACACATTGAAGACATATATAATATATGCATATAAGAAAGAATCTATTAAAAGGACCTACAGGACAGAAAGACTGAAAGCCAATAGGAAAAGAAGAAGAGATTTAAACAAACATTCCACATAAAAAAATAATATCTAAATATCCAATTAGCATATGGAAAAGTGCAGAATCTTCAAACTCATTGAGCACAGAAAATTAAAAACATACTAAGATGATCTCAGCATAACGAAGGCGTATGGTTTCCAAGATACCGCCTATGGGAGCAAGGATTTCCGAGCCAGCACTCGGTGGAGTCTATCACGTTGGAGGCTAGTGTGGCAATGCTTTATGAATTAGCTACTGGTAGACATACCTGATGAGCCAAGAATTCTACTCTCAGACGCACGACCAACAAAAATACGTGCCCTCACTCACAGGGACACATATAAGAACGTTCAGAGCTGTGTTATTTGTTTCAGCACTAAATGTTCTTCAAGTAGACGAAAGCGTGAGAAAGGACATGGGAAAAAATTATTTGAAAGAAACTGTCCCTTCTCATAGCAGCTTTAGGAACATTTGTCGACCCACATGCTAGGATTGCAATCTGACTTTTAAAAATTATAAAATCTGTACATTCGCGTTGTCCTTTGTAAAAATCCAACAGTATAAAAAGGCATGAAATTCTTCAAATATGACCATTATTTTTTGTGTGCTTATACTTTTTTACAATATGTTGTAATATATTGTATTACTTTGTAATATATGTATAGAAACTGATATGCTCTCTTAGTTTTACACTTACACTCAAGGATAGTAGAGCACGTCAATCTGCACCTTCCATTTTTCCTCTTTCATTAATCAGGGTGCTCTTGCCAGCTTAGCATGGGCTGGGGTTACCTCAGCTTTAAAGGCTTCCTTCTTGTCCCTGTGCAGATGGATCAGAATGCTGTCAAACGGCCCTGCGTACACAGTCCTTTACGATGCGTCCTGTGTTGACGCAGTCATGAGTAATGCCACGAACATTTTTATAGAACAATCGCCACGTACTTTCCTTCTGGTAATTTCCCCATAGCAGAAATACAGGTGTAAGAACATGTGCTATTTAAAAAACCCTGACACCGATTTTCCTCACTTTAACCATAGGGCAGGAAACTTTGATAAGCACATAGGGCTGAGTACACCCACTTCCTTTTTTTCTGACTTACTAATTTATTTGGCAGAAAAAACAGTTTCTCAGATGTGCTCTTTGGGGCTGATGTGAACAGTGTTCTAACTGTTAAATCAAGATCGAACCTGATATTCTTGGGCAAAGTTCTCTTTTGGTCTCGGCTGTGGTTTGTTCCAATCTTCATGTTGCTGTGGACAGCTCTTCTGGTCCTGGGTGAGTAGAGGGTTTAGCGTGAGGCCAGGTGGGCTGGGGCAGCTTCTTTTTCCATCACGGTCTCCCTGATCTGTGGGGCCAGGATTCTCCTGCTCAGAGAGTGTTTCCCACATAAAGAAACCATATTTTCAGGCTGTATTTTCATAGTAAATGTAGCTCAGGGCTTCCTCCCGTGGGTCTGAAGACTGATGATAGCTGGGAAAAAAAGTTGCCAGATTTATAGTGATTGTAACAGTGAAGATTTTATTTATATTTCTGTTCAATAAATACTCAATTTATAAATTTGTCAATTTGCCTACTTCTCCCCTCAATATTCACTTCTCAAACTTGTCTCCTACCTTATCGCAACTCTTACTAACTTAGTTCTTTCATTGATTCATGATTTCAGTAAAAAATTACCTAAGGAATGCTTTTTACATGTCAGGGAATGTTCTAGGTTCTGAAGGATTATCTAATGAACATAAGAGAAGTCTCTGATCTCATAGAGTTTGAGCTCCGCAAGAGGGGAAAACAATCAATAAAGCATAAACAGATAATTCAGATAATCTTGGAGAAACACTGTACAGAAAATTTAATATCACTGTCCCTCACTTTGTGGTCTAACATGCTGTCCAGCGTGCCTCATTGAAGGCTGCACATGTGCAGCCTCCCGCAGTGCACCGTGGAAGCTGACAGCTCTGCACACTGGTGCACACCTTCCCAGGGCTTCTGCAAAGTGGCAGCTGCTTATGTGGGCCCTGAATTCTTCCCTAGGCTTATTTTCCCCATGATGCCTTAAATGTTAGACTCCCATAGCTCTTGAACAGCGATGCCCTGTCTTAATTTCTGTGCCTTCCTGCCTTGATTCCCTTTCCGCTCATTTCTTTCTGCACACAACCCTAAACCTCACCTGGCTGACGCCTATCTTCTCACGCATAGTTTTCTCAAATATCATCCCCTTAAGGTACTTTGTGTGGACCACTCCCCTTTCTCTTCAATGTGTGCAAATATTCTGTACACACACACACACACACACACACACTTTGCACACTTAACTGAGTGTTCCTTCTACCCTCCAGACGCCCTTGTACACTTTGATTAGCACACCGGGCTTCATGTTTACATTATATTTCTTGGCATCATGTTTCTTTTCTTCTTTCTTCCTTCCTTTCTTCCTTCCTTTCTTTCTTTCTTTCTTTCTTTCTTTCTTTCTTTCTTTCTTTCTTTCTTTCTTTCTTTCTTTCTTTCTTTCTTCCTTTCTTTTTGGTGGAACTGGGGATTGAACTCAGACCCTTGCGCTTGCCAGGGAAGAGCTTATTCTACTGAGCCATCTCCCCGGCCCCGTGACATCATGTTTCTGCTTCCCCCTCCAGTCCACTTGTGGCCAGCAGATACCCTTTTCCTTTTATCTTAGAAGTCTAAGCACCATGCCTTAATATGTTAAGACATTTGCTAAATAATCATTAACATTTTAGAAATGTACTTCTAAATTTAAAAATGTAGTAAACGGAGGGAGGAAACGTACCATCTTTAGAAGGCCGAAGAATCCCTGCTTGGTGCTCATGTCTGGCTCTTTGTTTCCCTTGCAGCTCCTGCCAGTGGGCTATTTGGTGAGTTCTCCTTTCTTTTCTCTTCTGTGCCTCTGGATGACAGTGTCTCCCTAAACTAGAATATTTGTGATGGTTGCCTGAGGACTCCCATTGTTTGGCCCAGTTCATCAGGGATGTGGAAGTGATACCTGAGCTTCACAGTCAACCCCTACCTCCTAGGGTGAGGTGGTAAAGGCACAGACAGCTGTTGGTCCTTTCTAGGCTCCATGTTTACTCTTCATGCAAATGGTCCCCACTTAGCCAGGTAGGACTCCTTTAACTCTATGGTGGATATGTAGGACATGGGATGAGTCATGTCCAGCCAGCAAGCTGAGAAAAGTCAGCTGAAAAATATCAATGGAGAGGCCTGTTTTAGGATAGAAATCGTCCAGGAAATGTGTGAGGAATAGAACACCTAACAAGCATATCTTTACAAGGAAGAAATATGCAAAAGGGGGACATTTGGACAAAAGACAAACTTATCAATACCATACATTTTTTAAAATTCAGATCAATTGCTATTTTTTTTTTTTTTTGGTACCGGGGATTGAACTCAGGACCTTGTGTTTGCCAGGCAAGCGCTTATTCTACTGAGCTATCTCCCCAGCCCCCACTGCTATTCTTCAAGGCCAGAGTGTCTCGGGTATACAGGGATGCATAAGTAGCAAGCGTTTTCTACAAACCTTCTTCTTGTCCAAAATCAGCTGTCACATCTGGACCCTTGTCTAAGGCCATCTCTGGGCTCTAGCAGCAGACCTGTCCACTTCTTGTTCTGCCACAGTGAGATACAATTGGGGGTTTTCTGGGTATTTGAATCATCATCTATAAAACGAAGCCATTACGCAAGGTGATCTCTCAAGCTCTCCTCAGGGCCAAAATCTTATGACGAAATCATTTATTATTTTAGGAAAATGCAAAATTTTTATGTTACCAATGTAGGAACAGGATGAAAGGGCAGTGGCAGAGGTGATTTTTCTCTAGAATCCATTTACACAACTGCCTAAGCCCAGTGAATACTGTGTGTTATTTCCTTTCAAGATTTTGCTCCCTGGCATCCCCCAAGCAATCACTGCCCATGGAAGGAAGTGAGTGCTGTTGATTGACAGCAGTTTTAAGCCACAAGTGACCCTCTTGGAGGGTCTCCTAGGGACCATCCAGAGCCAGTCCTCCCCGCTACTCCATCAGAACTTCTGTAACTGGAACCACAGCCACCTCTGCCCCAAACTCATTTCTCTCTCCTCAGCAACTACACCCAAACTTGTGATCTCCCTTCATCCTCCGTGGACCCCAGTTTTTGAAGGAGAGACAGTGAAGCTGACTTGCAGTGGGTTTAGTGCTCCTTTGCCAAGGAAAGTATATTGGTACTCTGGAAACAAAATAATTAAGGAAACCAAAGAAAGCACCCTGGAGGTTGATCATTCGGGCGATTACAGATGCAGGATTGGCGGCAACTCATCTGCGAGTGATCCTGTGCACTTGGATTTTACTACAGGTCAGAAGAGAAAGGAATAGAAAGGAGCTTTATAAATAATTTTGACTTATTTTTCTTTCTAGCTGTCACCATTTTTCCCTCTGATGACTTACTAGTAAACAGTTTTATTCTACATTAGGGTTAGAGAGACAAGGAGACAATTAATTACCTTTCTAAACTTAAACACAACATTTAAGAAAATGTAAGTCATCTAGATAAAGTTCAGTGGACAGTGGATGAACAGTGCGCCCAAAAGAACATAATTGTCCTGTAACAGCTGAAGGTGAGGGTTGAACACTAAATTTCTGTATGTGTGGGATTTAACCCAGGAACTCTGCCTCCCTGCTTTTTTTACACCTTTATTTTGAACAAGGTCTTGCTAGATCACTAAGTTGCCCAGAATAGGTTCAAATTTTCAGTCTTCCTCCCTTAGCCTCTCAGAGTGCTGGAACTAGGGATTTGTGCCTGCACACCCAGCTCATTGTAGTTTCTACCGAATGGTTAATGTCTCTAAATCTGTGCTTCTTGTAATTTGATCTGGAAGAGAAAGCCTAGGTAACTTTTTAATCATACAGATATTCAGGACCTACCCTATATTTACTGACCAAAAATCTGTGCAAGTGGGCCCTGAGAGTGTGGTTTTTGCAAGCTTCTTAGGTAAAAGGAAATTTGAGAAGTAATTCATTTAAATGTTTCCTATACCTTAAGATTAAATGTATAGATTTAAGTCATACTATTTGGTAACAAGTAGAGTGAAGATTTTCACATTTATAGTTATAGATATATGATAGTCAGATGCAGATAGACAGATTGATTGATACAATAAATATATATAGAGAAAAGAAGAGGCATTTTATTTGTTTTTCTAAAACTGGTTGTTTTGAATTTGAAGTCTATCATCCTAGTTATGATGTCCTTTAATTTTGTGAATAAGGAAGCTATATAGTAGCAAGAAGAAAAAAAATCTTTATACTCATTGACTTAACAATTCCTCTCTTAAACAGTTACCTACTAAAACAACTATGAATATATATCTTCAAAAATGTAGTACCCTAAATGACCAAGGAAAGAGGATTCCAGTTGGATGTAATGGTATGCAGTAATCCCAGTTACACAGGACACTGAGGCAGGAAGATCTCAAGTTTGAGGCCAGCTTAAGCAACACAGTGAGACCTTGCTTCAAGGGAAAAAAAGTAAAATTCACCAAATTATGTTGCAGGCATTGAAAGCAAATTTTGTGGCCATTAAAAAAATCAAGTTCAATAATGATATGAGTAATATAAGAAAGCATTCGTAGTATAGAAAGCGAAAAGCAAGTCTTCAGATATATAAATACTATCCCAGCTTCACGAAAAGAAAACTAAGATACACAGAGATAATTGTATACCTGAACCCAGAAGAGAAAACTGGAAAAATACATGTCTAAATTATGAGGTGTGTATTATAAGTGATTTAAACTTGCATTTCTGCTTTCTAACTTTTCTCAAGGTATATGTATTCATCTCAAAACCAGAAAAAAAGAAATGATGATTGTTTTAATTTTTCTCCCAATCTTCTTCCTTGTACAATTTATTTAAAACAGTGAAAAGGAAGAGGAAACAATGGGATACACAGATTACTGACTGTGTGTTTCCTACAGATTTACTGGTCCTGCAAACTCCACATTCTGTGTTTGAAGGAGACTCTATAGTTCTGAAGTGCCAGACAAGGGCAGGCATGCAGCTAAGCAGTGTGGAAATTTATAAGGATAATAAGTTACTGGCATTACTTGGTGAAAACACTGAATTCAACATCCATCGAGCAAGTCTGAGGGACAATGGTGTATATCAATGTACTGGAATTATAAGAAGTCTTCTCCAAGTTTATTCCAGTAGTAAGGTCAAGATCCAAGTCAAAGGTAAAGAATTCATTATTTTGTGAATGGATTAGTAAAAGCAAGGGTCCCTGACGTATTCGAGGGAGAACAGGAAGAGTGAGGTGGGCTGAGATACATAGAGAGTCAGTGCAACAGTGCTGGGCCGAGGAAGAAGGTTAAGACTCAGAAGTGGTACTGCCACAACTCCCCTTCTTGCTAGGTTTGGTGGGAGATAGCAGCCCCACAACTCCACTAGCTGGTGCTGAGAAAGATTGTGTTTTTCTCCAGAGCATGTCCAAGCCTCATTGCTCCAGAGACTCTTGTGATCCTTCTCTCTAGAGCTGTTTTCACGTCCTGTGCTGACAGACAACCTCTCTGAGACCAGAAGTGGGACCCAAGTGATGCTGTTCTGTAAGACCCAGCTCTCTCCACAGAAGTCAAACATCAGACTCCAGTTCTGCTTCTTCAGAAATAACAAGGTCCTGGAGTCGGGCTGCAGCAACAACCCTGGACTCCATATTTCTGCCATATGGACTGAATATTCAGGGTCCTATCAGTGCAAGGCAGGGGCAGTGATTCCCAATATCTGGAAAGAAAGCCAGATATCCCACATTCGTGTGCGGAGTGAGTATCTGTGTGTGCTGAGATTTTCCCAGGAACAGGTCTGGAACAGTTGCCCAGAATCACACATCCGTGGGGGCCACTGGTCCGTGTAGAAAGTGGTTCTCATTCTGTGAGAAAAGGAGTTATAGGAGAGAAAGGAACTGCAGGAGAGAAGACACCCTGATTCTTGTGGATATCTTAGAAGACCCTAGAATGTGGCAAGTCAAAGAAAAAATGAGTTGGTTTATGCTTCCTTTCAATGCTTTCAGACACGACCCTTTCTTGTCTCTCAGAAAACTTTCTCCCTTGACACACCTTCGTTCCTTCTAGGCCAACAGGCACAAAATCTGTGGTAGGCAGAGTGCCCTGAGTGGCCTGCAGGGATCCTGCTCAGCCAGCTGAACAGACTGCTATAACTCCAGGTGCCCAGAAAACACTATTTCAGGATAAGAAAATCAAAGGACAAAAGCTTGGGAAATAAACGGTTCCAAGCTGTCGTCCTTGGAGATGGTATTGATCTCCTGTCACTTTTTTCTCAATTTCTGAAATTGTACATTCTCAAGCATGGTTGTTATCCCATGGATAGATGTTTTCCCTCATTAAATCTGGTCTGTCTCCTGAGAAATCTATTTGAGGATTAGGAAGGGACAGAGACTAGAGTGCTCATTGCCCTGAGCAGGGAAGGAGTAAAAGTGAGCATTTCCAATAAACTTACTCCCATCTTTCAGAAAAAAAAATTAGTAGTTTTATAATTGTTTTTCTAAACTTGCTAATTTCTATGAATCTGTTCTGAAGTTACAGAAAAAGAGATGCTTCAGAGGACTTGGCTTTAAGGAAAAATGATTCAGAGAAGACAGAGTGGACCTTCACCAATAGTTACAGCACAATATTTTCTAGCATAGCCTCCTTCCACAGCATGACTTATGGACCTCAACCATAAGCCTTTTCCCTCCTCTGTTCAGTTATCTTCACTGACTCTCCCATAACCTGAGGATAGCTCAGAAGGCACTGTCCTATGCTGGCATCATCGACCCAAACTGTACCAGCACAGACTGCACTAGCGGGCTGCTTCTATTTCTACTCCTGACTGCCCCCAACGCCCTCAGGGATCAGAGAGCCTCTCCCGCCAGACAGGGACAACAGAGCCCTTCTTCCCAAGGGCGGCCCTAACTCCAACTTCCTTCATTAAACCAGCGGCTTTTGCCCTTCCCATCCTGTGATGTTTCTCTATCTTTCAGTGCCTCCTTGGCAAGGTTCTTATACATGTCATTTTCACTTATTTAGGAGTTGACACCAAAGTCCAAACACCCACACAGCTGGCCTCAGAGCCCATCCCTGCAGGGCAGGAGCTGCTGCTCATCTGCTCAGTAGCAAGGAAACCAGCAAACCTCTATTTCTACTGGTTTAAAAAAGGTGTACACAATAAGAAAAAACAGACATTCCCAGGATCAAAGTACAAGATTTCTGCAGTGGAAAACAGCGATACCGGGCAGTATTATTGTCAAGCTGGCTACTCCACCAGTGAGCTACTGACCATCAGAGTGAAAGGTGCGTTCTTCCAGGTGTTATTTGAGGACCAGATTATCAACTGCATGCAGGGATTCCTGTTGCTGACTCTAGGCGAGGGGTGGGAGTGGATATTAATTGTTATTAACAATTCACTGACTCAAACAACCTGCAAGGATTGAATTAAAGACTAGCAGGAAAAATGAATAGAAAGGGCTATGGAAAGGGAGTCTTGCTTTTGGTTTTTGTTTTGAGGAGTATTTTTGGTTTGTTGAGACAAGGTCTTGCTCAGCAGCCCAGGCTCTCTTTGAACTCACCATGTAGCTTAGGTTGGCATCAAACTTGTAGTAATCCTTCTGCCCCAGACTCTCAGAGTATTGAGATTACAGGGATAGCTACCACCCCCAGCACAAATGGAGATTTTAAAAACTGCTCAGTGATTAGGCCTATGTCCAACCCTTCACATTCACAAACTCCTTCTCAGCTTAAGTGAAAAAGGTTCTTAAGAATAAAGGCAGAACTAATAGGATATTAGAGTCAGGGCTGACTTAGGATCAAGTCTCTTGAACCCGCTTAATTGAAGGAGTTGCAGGATCCACACTGACTGCCTCCCTGTCCCAGTGAGACATCATTCTGCCCTGCCAGAGCTCCCATAGCTCAATGCACCACGGAGGATGTATCAGAGCTACACCGTGGAATCTCTGCAGCTCTTCCCCTTCCTGCATCAGCTTTAAGTAAGGGGAAGAGCTTCTGGGGCTGTGGTGAAACTCTGGGATATAGCTTAGTGGCCCAATCACCTGCTTGGAAAGTACAAGGTCCTGAGTTCAATTCCCAGTACCCAAAAGACAAAAGGAAAACAAATCAACAACAGAAGGAGGAAGCTCTAAGGAACACAGGCCTCTGGAGAAGAATCTCACTCAACATTTCTTTGTTCAAAGAGCATCCTAGTCATGATGTCTGTGCCCAGTCAGTGGCCTGGAGACCCAGAAGGCAGAGAAGCTCTGATCTCCAGAAGTCAGGGTGTGTGTGACCCCACAGGTTGGAAACTCTGTGTACAGACACTGTCCTACTCCCTCCTTACTTGGGTTTTAAATAAGTAGAATCAGTCTGAGTACAAGGAGAGGGACAGAGCAGAAGAAAGGCCCTGGAAGAATACTTGCTTTTGGAAGGGAAAGGGGGGCAAAAGCAGAACTCTGAGGTAGATCCAAGAACCAGGAGTGACAAATCCTCACAGTGATGTGGAGGCAAAAGGCAGCTTTTCCACAGCTATGGGTCAGAGGGAAAGAGCAAGAGGCTGGTACAGCAAGATTGTGGGTTGGGTGACAGAAACATATGGGACTTCTTCCCTGAGGGTGTCATCTCTCTGCAAAAGGGAAGCAAGTCATCTAACAAGGGCTCCAGGAAGGAAGGGGCCAGAGGTCTGATGGGAGAGGAGCAGCCAGGGAAAGTCATCAAGGACAGGAGACCAGTGGTGAGAGGAGCCTGGGAGCTTTCTGAGCTGCCTTGAATGCCCATTGAGACTGGACTCTGGCCGTGGGCATTGGCATTGGGCATTGGCTGACTGAAATTTGTGCTAAGAGGTGGAAGTGACTGTTATTCATTCTCTCTCCTGCAGTCCCAGTGTCCCAGCCAGTCCTCACCCTCAGCACTTCAAAAGCCCAATTTCCAGAAGGAGAGCAGATGAACTTTCGCTGTGAGGTCAAGGGAGGTTCTTCCGAGATCTTGTACCAGTTTTTTCGTGAAGATGAATTCCTGAGGGAGATAAAAACCACTTTAAGGTTGGCCAGCATCTCTCTGACTGCAGAGCACTCTGGGAACTACTACTGCACAGCTAACAATGGCTTTGGCCCTAAACGCAGTGAGGCCTTGAAGATCTTTGTCATCGGTAAGCCTTGGGTTTCCTCATGTTCTGACCACCAGCTGGATCCTACATTCTGTGACACTGTAAGAAAAGTGTTCCTCCCTTTCACTTTCCTCTCTGCTTCTCTTTTGGGGCCACTCACTGTGCTCTCTACTCCCACACTCACCGAAGCAGCCATTCAGGACAAAGAACACCAATAAGAATCTGGTTGAGGGAGACACTAGAAGAGTATGTGCCCCAGAATCCAGGGGAAGCTAATGGCTTGTGCAAAACCTAGTGGCCAATTCAGATGAGGCTGTGCTCAGAGATGGTGAAAGCTAAGAACTCAGATGCACACACTGAATTTAGCCATATGAGGAAGAATACAGACCACAGCTAGAATACTAGGCATTGGTTGCTATCTCATCACTTACTACTTTATTACATGACTAATTTGAACCCTAGGTACCTCATCTGTGAAACTGAAACCCTGGGACTTAACTCACAGAAATGTTTAAAAAAATAGTTTCAGTCTACATATATAGCTATAAATCACATATGGCCAGTATGCATGCATACCAGACAGAGAGAGCTAAAAGTACTACATTATTTGCATAAGAGTATCCTTTGTTATTATTATTATTATCCTTATCATAATTATATTTATAGACAAGAAATATTAACTTAAGGAGATTGGTTGGAGTAATGATGGAGTTGCACAGGACATGAATGGAGTGTTTGGTAAAGAAGAGAAGCATTTTTCCCAGAAATCTGTCCATAGCAAAAGAGGAAAAAGATGCTATGGGAATGATTAAGCACAAGCAAGGTTGTTACTGCATTTAGAAATTTTTTTTCATTCATTTTAATGAGAAAAAAGAGATAAAATAGCAATGAAACACTTTCAAAACAGATTAATAGGGCAGGCACAATAATTAATACATTGCATATTGTTGTCTTCATGGTAGTTATTCAGAGGACAAGATGCAGACATGATATCTTGTCTGAACACTATTAGTACAAATTTTTCTTCCCAATGAACTAAGAGAAAGAAACTGTATATCTGTCCTATCTTGTGTATACATATATATTGTTTTGTTGTTTTCTAATATGGAGAGGATTACATAACCAGAAGGTGTTGGGAGGAAGACGATACAGGTGGAAGGGATTCTAAGTTGAGGTCAGATGCCTGTGGGTACAGGGTGGTAAGATAGAGGAAAACCCACTGTGGGCAGGCAGGAGTGAAAGCTGGCAGAATCAAAATGGAGTCATTTTGTCAAGCCCTAGCAAGCATCAGTAATTGAAGCCAGGAGATTACAAAGAAGGTGATCTCACCTAAGTGTGTTTGAGGGCAAAAACTAGTCACAGAGATTGTGTCAGGAGCATAATGCCACCCACAGGTCCTGCAAACACCTGGGACAAAAAAAAAATACTTTCATGTGAACATTTGCCCAACAACTGCCTGTTTGATGGAAGCACCACCTTCTCTGGTTGCTTTTTAGGTTGACATGAAGAAAAGCTCTTCCTTGGTCTCAGGGCAGAGGGAAGGATAAAAAAGCTGGTGTATAAAGGGTGTGGGTCTGATGACATCAGCAGAAGGGAATTCTTCCCTGAGGGCAGTATCTGCTCTGCAAAAGGGAAGCAGGTCACCTCACAAGGAAGCCAGGAGGGAAAAAGCCAGAGAGCTAAATGGAAAGGAGCCCCCAGGGAAAGATCAGCGGGAAGGGGCAGCAGAGCAGTGGCCTCGCTGCCTTGAAGGCCTGGGTCTGACCATTTGCAATAGCAGCAGATTGAAATCTGTGGTAAGGGACAAGAGTGACTTTGGCCTCATTTTCTCTCCTTCAGTCCCAGTGTCCCAGCCAGTCCTCACACTCCACACTCCTGAAGACGAGACTGTTGAGGGAGACACAGTGACACTTCACTGTCAAACCCAGAGAGGATCTCTCCCCATCCGGTATGAGTTCTATCACGAGGATGCCTACATGGACACCAGCTTAGCAGACACGGGCACTGGAGCATCCTACAGGTTCTCTCTGACCACAGAGCATTCCGGGAACTACTACTGCATAGCAACAAACAGCATTGGCTACAAGCGAAGTAAGGCCGTGAGCCTCTCTGTCATTGGTAAGACCTGGTTTCCTAACTCTACTGTTGAACTGGGGATTGAACTCAGGCCCTTGCACTTGCCAAGGAAGTGCTTATTCCACTGAGCCATTTCCCAGCCCCTCCTACCTCTACTGTTGATCAGCCACATTCTTCTCTTCCCAATCCCATCAGAAGTCTGCTCCGACCTTCCACCTTTGGCTGCCATCAATGCTGTCCTTTCTTGGGTCCCATCTTCGAGACCTTGCTCTCTCAAGGCCACAGTGTCCATCCAGTCTTGGCTCAATTCATACTTATGTAGTGGGTACCCCTGCTTTTGCTGAACACATTTATCATCTCCAAGTGTTGTTTTCTGTTCATTTGGTCTCCAGGCCTATTGCTCTTGATACAGAGAAATGTCACTTATTTCACCTTACACATTAACTTAGCAGCAGCATGATCACGTGGACTAATTCGGGGCAGGACCACAATATCTTCAGAGTCCTCAGCAGTTACAGTTCTCACAGGAATCTCAGGAGCTGAATGTTAGAGCAGAGGAGAGAAGCACTCCCCAGACACCTGCCCCTCAGGTTTCCATGACTTTTTCCTTCGAACTTATTAAACACAAGTATAATTTTATTGCATGTGATTTTAAAATGCTTTTTGAAGAATGACTTACATTCAGGAAAGGGTCTGAATCATAAGCGTATAATCACGGCTACCCCCATCACCATTAAAAGCTGTTACTTGAGGGGCAGCATCTCTTCTGCTTGCCCTCAGATTTTTGTTTAGCAGAGTGTGAAAGTCCAATTTTCTTCTCTTCCAAGAAGCAGCGCGGTAAGGTGGAAAGGCCCTTGAGTGTGGTGTGTCAGATTGTTTTATGTCACAAGAAAATAGAGGCCCTGGTTGAGTGGGGATTTATCTCAAGGCTATTTCAGGAGTAAGGAACACACCACAGTCAGATCAGCCAGACTGATGGATAAAGAAAGGAGACCCCATCGAATATAGCATATTTCTCAGAAGCAGGTGAGTCCTGCATACCTGTATCTACTCCCGGTGTGACACGGATCAGGTCCCCTATCAGCATCTGCTCTTTAGTGAGGCTGTGAGCTCAGAGGAAGAGGAGAGGAAGGAGAAGCTAATATTTCCAGCTTCTTAGGTATCACATGAGGAGAAGTAAATTAAACCCATTTATCAGTTTATATTTTTTATTGGCACTTATTTGCACTGCATAATTATGATATTCCTCGTGGGGAGCTGGCACCAGTGCTCAACACATCTCAATTATTTCTTCATCCTTTCCCCTCCCCTTCCTCCATCTCTTCACCCCCTTTGCATTTACAAAAGTCCTGTCTCCTTGTTTCCTATTGTCTTTTATTTTGCTCTTTATTTTTATTTTTGATATCTCACATATGATAAACTACATGATATTTAAGTTTGTATGTCTGACTTACCTCACCTGGTATTATGGTTTCAAGGTGTATTCATTTCCCTACAGGTGACTTAGGTTTATCCTTTTTTATGGCAATGTACCATGCCACTATATGTAAATCCCACATCTTTTTTATCTTTTCCTATGTTGATGGATACACAGGCTGCCCCCAAGGCTTAGCCATTATTAATTGTGTTGCTAAAACCTAAGCATGTATCATTGTACTGCAATGTCCTTAACTCTTTCTGGAAGGTACCTAGAAGGAAAATGGGAGGGTAAGCTAAATCCTCAATTAGCCAATAGATTTTCTGTAAGCTGACAAATTTCACTGTAGGCCCCTCAATTTTTTTTTTGGTAAAATAATCTCCTATATTTGAAGGCATGTGACCCAAACATAGGATCTAGAGAGATTTCATGGGAGATTGCTCTGATGAATAAACTTTTGAGTTTATTGGCAACCATGAAGTCATGGAAACCACACACTTAAATGATATTATCAAGTCAATGTGATTATGATGTTATTCACTGAGAAATGAGTCACAAGCCACACATGCCTATAATCTGAGCACTTTGTGAGGCTGAGGCAGGGGTATCACAAATTCAAGCTCAGCCTGGGTAATTTAGTGAGTTAGTAAAAATTTGCCAGAAGGAGGAGGAGGAGAAGAAGGAGGAGAAGAAGGAGGAAGAGGAGGAGGAGAAGAGGAGGAAGTGGAGGAGGAGGTGGAGGAGGAGGAGGTAAAGAAGAAAGAAAGAGAAGAAGAAAAAGACTGGAGATATAGCTCAGTGTCAAGGTCCTAGATTCAATCCCAATTGCTGAAAAAAATTCTCCAAAGTAGGTATCTTTGCATAAATGTATTTAGAATTATAAAGGGAAGTCTTCTTTACATACTGATTTCCCATACCCAGTGATGAAATTGGTGGAGTGTATAGTTCTATTTTTAGCTTTTGGAGGAAGCTTCACATTGATTTCTATAAACCCTAAGCTAGTTTACAAACTCATCAACAGTGTAGTAGAGTTCCCTTTTTTTGCTTGCATCCTCACTACCAGTTGTTATTTTTTTCTCTTCAAGAACACCTATTCTAACAGCAATGAAATGATACCTATGGTTATGATTTGCACTTCCCTGATGTTGAGCATTTTTTCACACACTTATTAGGCATTTATATGCCTTCTCTTGAAATATCTCTGTTCAAGTCATTTTTAATTGAGTTATTTTTTTGTTTTGCTGAACAGTTAAGAATTCTATATATTAATTATTTGTCAGATAAATGAGTTTTCTCTCATTCCTCAGGTTGTCTCTTCACTCTATTGATTGTTTTTTTTTGCTGTATAGAAGCATTTAGTTTAATATAATTCAATTTTTGGCTAAGACATCAAAAGAGTAGGTAATGAAATAGAAACCTGACAAATAGAGGACATTAGGTGGGGTGGGTGGTGGAGAAAAGATAATAGGTACAGGGTATAGCTAAATAGGAAGAGGAGCTTCTGGTATCCTATAGCATCTTGGTGGGAAAAATAGAATTAACAATTAATATTTCTTTTTGTGTGTATTTGGTACAGGGTCTCACTACACAGCTCGGACTCATAGTGATCCTCTTGTTTTCAGCCTCCCCAGTGCTGGGATTACAGGCATGTGCCACCACATGCGGTGTCAGTGGCCAATTCAGCATGCCTGGGGTCATGTGGTGCCAGGGATTGAACCCTGATCCTTATGCTGGCCTAAGCAGGAGCTTAGTCTGCTGAGGTACCTTACAGACCCAGCAATTAATGTTTCAAGGGCTGGGGAGATAGCTTAGTGGTCTAAGCACCTGCCTGGCAAGTGCAAGGACCCAGGTTCAATCCTTGTACTGTATGCTTTGCTGGACCCGAAACTCTGGGCATGCTGTACTGGCCACTAAGATTGGGTGTGGTGGTGTATGCATGTAATTTCAGCACTGGAGAAGCTGAGACAGGAGGATCACTATGAGTCTAAGCTGCATAGCAAGACCCTGTACCAAATAAATAAATAAATAAATAAAGATTTTTAGAAAAAATTTAAAAAGCAATTAATATTACAAAATGGCTAGTACAATAGGTGTTGTATTTTCTCAACACAAACAAATGATAAATGTTTGAGGTGATGGATAAATAAATTATCCTGATTGTTATACATGGAATTCATATACTGAAATATCACACTATGTTCTATACCTTGGTCCAATTACTCTTTACCAATTAAAATAAACAGAACAAAAAAAAATATATATATATATAGGCACAAAAAGGAGTTATTGTTTACAAAAGAAATGATAAGAAGAGATTGAAAAAAAATGATCCAGTAGATCTCAGGAGAAAATGACAAAGATATTTTAGTAATTAAATCTGAATTTGAAGTTGTAAGAATAGAATAAACAGGGGCTGGGGAGATGGCTCAGTGAAACAAGTGCTTTCCTGGTAAGCGCAAGGGCCTGAGTTCAATCCCCAGTTACACACACACACACACACACACACACACACACACAAAATAAAATAAAATAAAATAAAATAAAATAAAATAAAAAATAGGATAAATATCTCTGGAAAATGTTAACTCAATGAAATATTAGTTTAACAATACAGAATACAAAGTAGAGAATCACAGAACTAAAGGGGAAAAGTTATGATATGAATATCAGACAATAAAACCCCTTGTTTGGACAATTAAATGTCTGTAAATTAGTAAATCAACCTGAGGACATAAATGAAACTCAAAAATATAATCAAAATTGTTTTTCCTAAAGTGATAGATATTTGACTAGGTACATTAGACGGTATAACTTATTGGAGTTATTGAACTTCAAAGTTAAAAAGTGAGAGAGAGAGAGAGAGAGAGAGAGAGAGAGAGAGAGAGAGAGAGAGAAGGAGGAGAAGAGAGAGGGAGACGGAGGGAGAAGGGGGGAGAGGGAGAAAGAACAATTAAGAATAAGCAGTTATTTGAGAAAGAAAAGTATCGAGTAGGTGTTTGATTTCACAGAGCAATTGGTGTCAAGAAGAGAGATGTGAAATCCAGATTTGGACTTCCTAGAGAGGAGTGAAAACTGGGAATTTGATATTAAATCAAGAAGTCAGTATCAAAATTTCAGGGACTTTCTTAAAAAATTACTTCATAACAAAAAATCTAGTATAGAGAACTCACAATGAGGAAAATGATACAAAAATGAATACTGAATCCATACAGATTGGTGGTCCTCAAACCCAATTACAGGTTAAGATCACCTGGGGACTTTGTAAAAATATCTATTACTAAGTTCTGTTCAAGATCGATACAATTCAGAGTTTCTCAAATGGGAATCTCAAAAATAATATTTCCTAGCATGTTTTCAGGTGAAAATATTTTACTGACAGGGTTGAAAGCTGCCTATTTAGAAACAAAAGCTAGTCAATTGTAAAACCTCTGGCTACAGACTAGAAAGTAGAGGAGGTATTTCTTACCCCCATCTGAGCATTACACATTGTCTGCATTACTGAAATGTCCCGTTGCACTCTGTAAAGATGGAAAATGAAAAAAAAACAGGTGGAGAATCAGCTGGCCAGAAGGAGGAGAGGAAACCAAAGAACAATTATTTTCTTATTATTATTTCATAATGAGCA